GCCTAACCCATCCCTGCTGCACCAGGGCTACCTGGACACAGTCAGCGTATGGCTCTCTCCACCTGTTGCCAGTGCTGCGAAGGGTGTTGTGCTGAGCGACCTTTGCTCCTTGGCTCACTGTGTGAGCCATTAAACCCCACAAAACAGCGCCAGTGTAAGGTGGGAAAGGCTGAATTAGAGAAGCATTAGAAGAGACCTAATTTTGTCTGAGCTTAAGCCCAAGGATTTAATGAAAAGTAACAATCTTAAGTTTATTTGCTAAGCGGGAATGAATTTAACAAGTCAGCAAAAGGTTTAAGTGAATGTTTGAAGAGCATTCCCTTCAGAGTGATCTCCACATGCTCTCAGTGAGTATAGAGATCGTCTAAATTTTAGCAAGAGCATTTAGGTTTTCTGTACTTATGGTACAAACCGAAAACATTCTTTAACCTAAAATACCTTTATATGTCTGCAACTAGCTAAGAAACCTTTTACACATTTTATCCTTCTATTTTCTAAAGCATTCTGCAATCTGTACGTAGACTACTATATGGAAACTAAGTCTTCCGCAGGAACATTTCAAATCAAACTGCCTAGAGAGTAATTATTTTCACTTCATAGTTCTGTGTCAAAGATGAAAATACAGTGTTGCATTTTCTTCACTAACTAATACATTTCCTGACAAATTACTTTTCATAAGTAATACAAAAAGGATATGGCTTCCAAACTCAGTATTGGGACAGAGGTTAGTAGCTTTTATTTCACAGAAGCACAGAAGTACAGAATGTCAGGGGTTGGAAGGGATCTCTGAAGATCACCTAGTCCACCCCCCCTGCCAGAGCAGGATCACCTACAGTAGGTCACACAGGAACGCGTCCAGGCGGGTTTTGAAAGTCTCCGGAGACAGAGACTCCACAACCTCTCTGGGCAGCCTGTTCCAGTGCTCTGTCACCCTTACAGTAAAGATGTATTTCCTTATGTTTAGGTTATGTTTTCCAGTTTGTAATAACCATTGCCCCTTATCCTGTCACTGAACACCACCCAGAAGAGTCTGGCCCCATCCTCCTGATACCTGCTTGATGTCTTGCAAGAGTTTTAAATTATGTTCACATGTTTAAAGACAAAAGAAAAGCAATTTTAATTTTGCAGGTTATAGAGGACAATGCTAAAACACCATTTAATTGATTTTTTTACTTGCCGTTGGCTTGGTCACTCATGGCAGGTCTGTTCTGCAGCACGACTGCACCCTGGTGTCCCCAGTGTCCCCAGGAGGGACCAAGCCAGAGCAAAGCACATGCTTCAAGTGCAAAGACCTGATCTGAGCATCAGTCAGAGCCCAGAAACTCATGCTTCGGCAATGAGCAGTGTTCAGGATCCCTGGGGACAGACTAAGACCTGATCATGTCAAGTATCAGAAAGCTGATCCTGTGCCAGAAGTCATAGACCTGGGGTGTCACGCACTCGGGATCTAGGAGAGCCACACGGGGTGACTGGCCAGGGGACAACTGGTTGAAGTTATGCCACATGGAAAATGTTTTAACGAGAAGAGGAGAGTACAACCAGGAAATATTTTGAGTTTCAGGCATAATGATTCTTCAGGCAAGCCACAATTACTGTATTTGCAGTAGCCACAACAAGACATTCTGCCAGAAAAAAATGTGGTAAAGCCTTTCATCCCGTATTAAGGAGGTGACCTAAAAGAAAAAAATGTTTCTTTCAGCCCTGGTTCTCCAATGCCTGCAAGTTGGATATCCTTAAGGAGCTCAAGGCGATGAATGAAACAGGAAAGGAAAAATTCTTTTAATCTCGATCCAAAATGATGTTTTGTGCCATATTTTCTATGTAATTTACATCTCTGATCAAGCCATGAGGAATGCATTGTCTCCTCTGAGAGAGTCAGACCAGACAAGTGGCATGTGCAAGCATCCAGATGACATGCAAGGCCAGAGGCAAGCCATGGGGTCTCCAAAAGGTGGGAAATTCAGGGGCAGTCTGCAGATGGGGAGGTGAGGATTTCCATTGCCAGCTGCTGGTTTTGGAGAAGCTCCCTTCCCCAGCAACCAAATACAAATACTCCCTTCTATAAAGGGCAGATGGCAGCAACCACCACCCTGAGAAAGCTATTATCTTATCAGATTACATAGTGTTTTATTTATGTAACGTGTCACTGCTGTAAGAAAAACTGTAATCTTTCAAGTTTTCCTTTATTAAAGTTTCATGCTGAGCTTCTTACTCCAGCAAAACATTCTCTTAGAAACTGCTCTAAATGAAAAGTGACGAAAGAAGCTCCCAGACTACATATGAAGTTATTTTCTTTGTACAAGTGTATGTGTAAAACTGCAAGGACAGTGTGCTAGCGAACCATGGACAGTAGGCTCCACTCGCTACCCCTTACTAATTCAAGCACTGATCAGATGAAAGTTAGAGGATTAAGTAAATAACTAAACTGTAGTTTACTACACTGTAGTAAATAACTACACTGTATTTACCTAATCTGAGGTCTGAGGGTTTCTGAATCTGATTGAGGAATGCTGCTAAGGCAAATAGAAATTGTTGGTGTGGCTCCTCAGCCATACTTCAGAGATCCCACGCCGATCTGGGATCTCTGAAGTATACAGTCATTTGAAATGTATCAGGTGGGCTTTAGACAAATATTTAACCTTCCCATAGACCCGCCTCCTCTTCTTTTTAGACTGTTATGGCTACAGCTCTCTGCTGTTGTCCTTCATACACTTGTTTCTTGGGATACACTTAACAAAACCACTGTTGATCCCCAGCCATAAGTCAAAGACATGAGTCCCTGCCACCAATTCCAGAGAGAAAAAAGGTCCTCCAAAGGACTGGGTGTGAAAGAACTTTCATGAAGTATCAACTACGCAGCATATGAAATAAATCAGAATGATGTGATACAGCTATTGCATGAAGCAAATGGGTGATTTTACAATCTTAATAGACATAATCTTGATACTTGTCTTGGGTTACAATATGTAACCAA